TCTCGTTTCCCCCGTCGTGATATTGCTGGAATATTTCTAAAAGCGGCATAAAACTATACTCACTATAAGCTCAATTGGGATTTTTTTGAGAGAATTGAGCAAGCAATGCTTATCATTTGAGTTGTACCCTGGCTTTGTGGGAGACTGATCTTGATGTCTGTCAAGGTTTCATGTTCCAGACTTGATTAATAGTGAGTGAGTTAGTTTAGTTGTAAGCCGTTTTAGCAATATCCCAGCAAATATCTCGGGTACACCACAAATGGGCTTCACATATAGTACCCATGTGGGGAGTTGAACCCGGGTCTTCGGCGTGATGAGCGACCACTTTAACCACTAGACTTGAATATTGCTAATGGGGCATAAAATTAAACTCACTCACTGTGTCAGGTCAAGTCTAAGATATTTATTGAATGGTCTCCGATCCACATAAAATGAGTTACACTGAGGTAGTTTTACATAATCGAATACATGCAAATATTTAGCAGTTTATTTCGAAGAACAAATTCATTTCTATCATATGCAGCCACTATCAATATGACATCATCATCTCTTGAATTGAGGAGAGACGTAAAAGCCGATACAGAATAATTTGACAGATGGCGCCCCAGTGTTTCAAAAATAAGATGAATTTCATTTTCCATAGCTAAATGACACAATGGGCATAACCTCTTCAATGTTTCAGTAGACACGTTTCTTCACGAGATCTGTTATCTGGAGTGGAATAATATTCTTTGTACAACATATTTATAGATTGTTCACGAATTCGTTTCAAAAAGAGTTTAACATCTCCAACTGATGTCCCCCGCACTACACAAAGCGATAAACGTCTATGACCTCTATATGACCTCTGGATCTCCTCCCACATCCGACTGACTTATCACTAACTCACTCACTCAAAATACGTCAATTTTGCTCACTTCCCAATAAGCCTTATACGTATGGAAGTAAATAGCCAAATATAAATGTTTAACGGAAATGTTGCATGTTCTAAATACGTCAGACATTCGGCCCGACGGTGATGGTTGGTTTTCAAATAAATAACTTTTTTGTAGTTGTTAAACATTTTGCCAAGTAGGCCTTTAATGTATAGTAAATCGAAGCATAATTATTCAACCATACCTTCAAATCAACGTTAATGGTTACGTAAACAAGACCCCTTTATGAAACCCGGGTTACCTTGACCAATTTACTTCAAGGCACACCTTAAGCCCATATCAAGTCAACGCAACATATCATAGCTTCGTGGATCTACACTTGTTGTTTTATCTTTGTATCTAACTTTGTATCACGTGACCTAACTTATAGACTATTGGTTAGTTATGTCAACGCCGGTAAGGTTTCTTTGTTGTTTCACCTCGCACTCCGCAGTATTCCAGGTATATGGCGGTGGTCTGTAAGAAATTTCGAGTCTGGACCAGACAATCAGGTGAGCAACAGCACGCGCATCATCTATGCAGTTGGGCTAATATGACATGTGTCAACCAAGTGAGCGAGTCTGACCACCCGATCCCGATAGTCACCTTTTACGACAAGCATGGGTTGCTGAAGACCGAGGTTGTAGTAGTAGCAATCAATCTCGAATTAATCAAAAACATCATTGTTGTTGTTGTTGTTGTTTAACCCCGCACTCAGCGATATACCAGCTATAAGACGGCGGTCTGTAAATAATCGAGTCTGGACGAGACAACGGATCAACAGCACGCGCATGACCACCCGATCCTGTTACTTGCCCCTTTCGACAAGCATGTCATGTAAAACTGAAAATTGCTTTTAGCTACTGGACTAATGTTTGCTATTCTAACCGGGATCTTCAGTGGTTCGTAATACCAAACAACCTTACCCCTTAGCCCTTAGCCTGCTACTTAGGACCAGAAATGGCATTCGTTGTGCCATACTGCACTGACACTTACCTAGTATTTCTCCCGTGTCGGACTCCGCCACAAACCAGGCCCTAGAGTCCATGTCAAACGAACAGTACATGAGGTCAGTCGGAATTTCCCATTCCTCTATGTCTGTTAAGTTCTTAATAGCGGTTATATCAGCTCGGGTTCCCCTCCTCACGGAATACTTCGGAACGACAGCAGCCATGATTTACTTATAATAGACCCTGGAGGCTCTGTTATCAGATATTCACCATCGAAGGTAGCACAGTCAACATATGCGGTCGCGCCAGCGAGTGTGTGTTACAGTAGAGTTTAAATACTTAAATACAAACGCTTTTTTAAGGTCAGCCAATGCACTTCTATGATGCAGTGACATGATTGGAGCATTGCTTTCCTCCTTGCTGATTAGTATGTTTATATGTAATATGAGCAGCACACATATACATGAAGCTGACGACTGATGGAAGAGACAAACTAATACCGTTAATGTAAGTGTTGGTAGTACAACACATTATGTTTAATGGTAGTCCTGACATTTAATTAATTTTATAAGACATATATCGTGCATAGGGGTTACGAATTAGGCATCGAAAGTGTTAAAGGTAGGGTGTCTGTAAAGTTAGAAGGTATGTTGGCCAGAGAAACAATAAAGCTATAACATCAATATATTTGACTAGAGCTTATGTCCGCCACTGAAAGTGTTAAAGGTGGGATATCTGTACAGTCGACTAGAACACATGTCCGCCACTGAAAGTGTTAAAGGTGGGATATCTGTACAGTACATTGGAACCCATGTAGACTACTGAAAGTGTTAAAGGTGGGATGTATGTACAGTAGACTGGAACCCATGTCAACCACTGAAAGTGTTAAAGGTGGGATGTCTGTACAGTAGACTGGAAGCCATGTCCTCCACTGAAAGTGTTAAAGGCGGGATATCTGTACAGTAGACCGGAACCCATGTCCGCCACGGAAAGTGTTAAAGGTGGGATATCTGTACAGTATACCTTAACCAATGTTGACTACTGAAAGACATTTCATTGGCAACCAAGACTGATGACATCATTAAGTTTTCGAAAGGTAAAGGGGTTGACAAGAACGGATCTCGCTGGTGTTGATGGGTAATGTGCTGATCTTGTCGAGGGGTTGTGACCCTTGGACGACCGCTCCGAGGAAGGTCATCTGTGGTCTTTGTAGCGTTGTATCGATGCTGGAGACGGTAAATAGTGGTTATGTTTACGTCGAAATGACGGGCACCATTTGGACAGACACTCCAGCTTCCGAACGTCTGATAGCCTTGTTTCTTTCAATCTGAGTTAAGCGTGGCATTGTTGAACAAGTAATAGACCTAATTTTTGTGCAGTCTTATACGCACTAATGGTGGTGACAATTCGTGCATGTTAGATTTCACGAGAAGTGTGTACATGCTACCCACATGTTCATTTGTATGGTGCGTTTTGGTGATTCCTTCTATTGATGTGTTTTTGCTCGGGCCTTCCAAAACGCATCAAAACGTATTGATAACACCATCAGGCTTCAATGTATGCCAAAAACCCATATTAATTTAGGGTCCGAGTTTGTTACCTATTTGGGTAAAAAACTTGCGTTTCTTATGCGTGTGAGTATATATAAGTTAACATGAAATGATTCAATGATTACTGAGACGACAGACTGACTGACTGAGTTTGGTTTTACGCCGCTTTCAGCAATATTCCAGCAACATCACGGCGGGGACACCAGAAATGGGCTTCACACATTGTGCCCATGTGGGGATTCGAACCCGGGTCTTCGGCGTGACGAACCAACGCTTTAACCATTAGGCTACCCCACCGCCCCCTACTGAGACGAAAGCCTAATTAAAGAAAGCTAATAATTGAAGAGTATGCATGTATAATGACCATAATATTTTACAGAAGCATAGCACACACGTTGCACTGCTCATGTCAGCAGACAGCTAATTTGTGAGGGTTTGGGCGATATCAGGTGATCAGATAAAGAGTACTGTGATACAGTAACACCAACACTATCCCCACCCCTTCTCCGCTGCGTGTATCATATCGTTCATACTTCAGGTTTAGTTTTGTGATTCATATGTACACGTGTATGTACATAAATGTTGGAATGGTAAAGCTCCGGGGGTGGACAACAACTGGGTGCAGGTACACAGCCCAAGGTCGGGACACAGCCATTACGTCACGCCGCCAAGGTAGCCGGGTCTCACAGACGATCAGCTGTTCCCAGCCGATGTTTGTAAACAAGACACTTTCCTTGTGTGAGCAGCAACTGGGTGCCGAGACCGGGACAGAGTCATGACGTCATCATCGCCAGATATGACGTCACGCCGCGAACACAACAGTTCTGGCGGCAGATCTTCAGCTGAGAGATTTTTTTCATCATGGAGAGAGATAACAGTGGGCGTGTGTGGCATGTCTTACTACTTGGTCTCTGTATATTATTGTTCCTACATGAAAATCCATGAAACTTACACAAGGAGTGACACAAAAGCAACTAACCATGAAGAAAAAAGTGCCAAAATTGAAAATTGGTAACAATATAAGCAACCATTTTTGCCTCTTAATAAACTCTTGTCTGTTGGCAATTCCTTTTGTGGTGTAGTTCATTTTACTATCTATTCAATAAAATAAAATACAGGAAAATACAAATACGCATGCACACAGGCGACGTGATCAAAGAAGGCATATTTAGTTTTTCGTGACATCTTTCATAAGGTTTCTGACCCGTGAAGATGAAGGTTAGAATTGGTCTTCAGTAACCCATGATTGTCGTAAAAGGCGACTAACGGGATCGGGGGGTCAGGCTCGCTGACTTGGTTGACACGTGTCATCGTATCCCAGTTGCGTAGATTGATGCTCATGTTGTTGATCACTGTATTGTGTGGTTGCAGACTTGATTATTTACAGACCAGGGTGCCATTCCACTAACCGATCTTAGCCCTACGCCAATCGTAAACCCCTAAAATCCCAATCTTATCGTGACGTTAAGATCGGCATACCGTTCCACTAACCAATCTTACCTAAGTCAATCGTAAAGTTTAGATTCAAAGTCTAAGTTGCTCATGACCAACTTAGGATCGCTAAAATCAATCGTAGAGAAACAAAAATGGCGACTTTCATTATTGTATGTGAAGAAGAAGAGCGAGCTTTACACCGTGAGCGTGTTTTTCGAGACCGCTCACAGATTCTAGACACATTATCGGATGATGTGCTTGTGGCGAGGTATAGGATGCCTCGTCACGCCTTGTTCATGCTGATCAACAAGGTTCAGCCACATATTATGCCAGATACCAAGCGTTCACACGCACTTTCCCCTGAAACCAAGGTGTTGACTACCCTAAGATTTCTCGGGAAGGGTGAATTTTTTGTTGAACTTGGAGATCTTAATGGTATATCCAAGTCAAGCGTATCTAGGCTGCTTCGTCCTACCATTCAGGGTATATGTGATGCGTTGAATAATATTTCCATCGACCAGACACGGGGGAGTATCATTAGGACAAAGAGTGATTTTTTCAAACTCGCAGGATTTCCTAAGGTCATTGGTGCCATTGATGGGACTTTGATCCCGATTGCGAAGCCCCCTGCTGACGAAGAGGCTGCTTTTGTGTGCAGAAAAGGCTTCCATGCCATTAATGTGCAGGCAGTATGCGATGCATCCCTCGGGTAAGATGGTTGATGTTTTTGATGGAATGCAATAAGTAGAATTCATAAGTTTCGGTATACTGACTCGGGCGAAACACTTCCTGTTTTACATTAGAAACGATCTTGACCAATGGCTATTGGTTTCCTGCCACTAACAGATGGGGCCCTCTAAGGGTTAGACTATTTGTTACCAACTCGTCATCATTTAATTATACTTAAAATCGTTAGTGAAATGAAGATTAACACAGTACACGTATATTTCTATTGATAACACGTAAGGAATTATATCAAAAATAAAATGTCAGGGTGAGGCCAAAGGTCTCCTGCAAGCACAAATTATTTTCTCATGGTTTGTCTCAGTTGGTAGAGCTAAGACTGTCGTTCGAAAATCCTCGCTTCAAATGCCATCGGACACTGATCATTGGCGGATCCAGTGTGTGTGTGTGTGTGTGTGTGTGTGTTTTTCAGGGATTCGACACACACACCCCCCCCCCCCCCCCCACACTTTTTTTGTTGAAAATTACTTAAGACCACATTGAAGAGTTTTTTTGCGTTGGCGGAGCCAATGGGGGGTGGAGGGTGGTCAGGGAGTTCGAAACCACCACCCACCCCCTTTCAAAATTCTTGGATCCGCCCATGCTGATCATATATTAACGCTTTTAAGTTTATTTTTTGTAGTTTTCCCATTCTTTAATATTCCCTATTTCTTATTCTTATTACATTTTGCAGTTTGATTGAAGAACTACAAATAGAAAAACAAATGCAGAGTCTTTATATTAAAAAATGTACATTACTTTAACATTTCAGATTTACTAATGATGTGGCAAGATGGCCAGGATCTGCACATAATTCCTCCATTCTAAACAACAGTATCATTGGACAAACATTCCAACATGATTGCCCAGACGGTTTTCTCCTTGGAGATTCAGGGTACAGTAATCTTAATTAGTGTCAGATGTATTTGTATATATAAAAGCATGATTGGCATATAAGGTATTTTTATCTGTTACCTAATTGTGATAGTTTAACTTAAGGTTCATATCATAAATACATAACTTAAAACTTGATGCAACTCTTTTTCTAATAGCCATATCAATATTTCAATTATGTTTTGACAAAGATATGGGTGTCGACCATGGTTGTTGACCCCCCTGGCAGATCCAAGCACCCCGGCTCAGCAGAGATACCAATTAGCACACTGCAAGACAAGAAATGTGGTAGAGAGGGCTTTTGGTGTCCTGAAATCACGATTCAGGTTGGTTTCATAACAACAAATATAAACTTGCAGTCATTATCAAAAATAAAAGCTTCGTCAAATTAAAATGATTTTCATGAAATTAATTGTACTGAACAGTTAGGTAAAATTGATGATAATTCATGAAAGAAGTTGATTTTGATTATGAAGTGTAGTAGTAGTGTTAAAATGTTTGCAGGTGTTTGCACAAAAGCACTGGATACCTGCCCTTCTCTACCAAGAAATGCTGCAAAGAAATTTTGGCGTGTTTCTACTTACACAACTTCTGCATAGACCTGCGCCTACCCCAACCAGAACCCATGGAGGAAGACAACACAGATGACCCCTACCAAGGAGCGGTCAATGACGGCCACCAAGTCCGACAACACCTCATTGACTATTTCTTCACAGCATGAACATGGTGAGAAGTAGCATATTCCCTTTAAAAAGTAATTACCTTCAACCATAAACAATGAATACAGCATAAAATCTCAATTTTGTTTATTTTATACATGCACACCATTAAATATTGTTCAACTGCAGGAATGCATCAAATAGTACATCAATTGTTTTTTTGCTAATTTATGTCACAATATTAATGTAAATTTTGTCATGAATAGCTTCAGCCTGTCATCTGTACCAGTACTATTTTTTTTTTATCGATCACTATGCTTGGAAAAAGTATGGGAGAACATCCTATGTGCTGTATTACACAAAGTGCAAATAAATAAATAATATGAAAAAATATAATAATACATTACTAAAATAAACATGGAAGTTGAAACAAAATATTTTGAAGTTTCTTCCTTATTTGTTATAAAATGGTTTAAGTCTGCAATTTGAGTAACAGCACTTTCTTCAATAAATTTGTTTTTTCCGAGAACTCTTCCTGCTTGTTATCTGTTCTCAATTTATCCTCAAATACATCATTTTACCGGACATCAGGCCAAAAATTTGAATTTAAGAGACAGATCACAACTGGCCCAAAAATGCACTCAATACCTGGGACAAAACAAAAATTAAGTCTATAAATATGTGAAGAATGTTAACAAGATACAAAAACAAGCATGAAATACTCCCATTTCAAACCTAATGTGTAATCTTGTAAAAGAATAAGCCGCATTCATTAATCAAAACTTATTACAGGTGTGATGAAATTTTCAACATTTGAATTGTTTGAATTGACGCTGCCGGTCAAGTGCCATTCTGTCTCTCTCTAGTGCTAGTCTCTCCCTCTCCACGGCCAGCCTCTGTGTCTCCACACTCAGCAGCTGTTGCAGCACCTCCAACTTCGACTCCTCTACCTTTACCAGACCCTGCACATGGCTTGTCGATCCGCTTCTGGGGGTTACAGTAGAGGTTGGTGGTGCTACAGCTGAGGATATTACATCGCTGTGCTTGTTGCTATCTTTTGGGATGGGAGGATCACAGCACTCGCCACTGATGTTGTTGATGTACTTCCCGCATTAACTGATTCCACTGTTCTTGGTGCTAAAAAATTGAACAAAAAGATGTTGAAAATGTTTAAATTCTTTGATAACAAAACTTTACTTCAAATCTCATAAAATCATTGATATTTATTGTCTATGAAATTTGACACATTATGAGGTGTAAGAATACACAGACTTTCAATTACTATATCTGGATATGAAAATGTAAAACATCCTTTGTGTTCACAATTTCTCATTATTTATACACTGTTTTGATAAATATGTACCTGCAGCACTTTCCTGAGGGAGACATGCTTCATCTGAAGTATTCTGTACTGCAACTGTTGGAGGTTGATCTTCTATAAACAATGTACATACAGTAGCATCACTATTTGATTAATTAATCAAAAATAGGTACAGATAATAAATCCCTGATTAACCTAACTTGATAAACAGTTACTTAAAATTACAGTTATCCTCAAAATCTAATTCATATATCTTCATTGTTATGACCACTGGTTTTGGTGAAAAGGTGTCAAATTAAGTTATAATTACCAGTACAAAGTGGAGTTTCGATTCCCCCATCAATTCCCTCAACTTGACAAATAGGAATGGTTGACAGCACCTGAAAACATGAATTTGAACATGTTGAAGAAAACTATAATTTCACATAAGAAATATATTTGTGGTACATGTAATAAATGGCACTTTTGATATTCAAATGAATCAGCTATTTAACCTCACCAGGTAATATACAACTTGTTATAATCATATTTTATGCAACTATTTTTCTCTTGTCTCAACTAAACATACTACTCAACAAAATAGATTTATGATAAGGAAAATTAAATTTCATCTTCTATTTATTTTATCTGTGAAGTAAACATTTCATACCTTTTCATCCAGCTCATTGAGCATAACAGCATGAGCTGTGCTCTTTTTTTTACCTGGCATCTGAAATCAAATATTAAATATAGTCTTTAGGCCACATGCTCATTACAGGTTCTGAATGTTAGAGAACCTAGTTCATCACTTTGGTATAGAGACAATGTGATACACAATTTAAATCAGATGAAATCTGGAGAAAATGATCATGTACATACAATTTTCATCATACAATTTTCATGTACGTCTTCAATCACTCTAGTCTCTTCATTTACGTAATAACTCTTTTGATGTGTTAATATTGAATACATGTACACTGATATCATTTGTGACCGTCAGACGAGTTGGTTGGGTAAGTGTAAAATCATAAATGAATCTTGAGGTGATAGATAATTTCAATTGTTGGGTGAAAGTATTATTTTCAAGGTTAATCTATTCAAAGAAAAACAAAAGGAAGTTTTACCTTATGTCGTTCCACTTCTTGCGGACTTCACCTGCCGATCTAACACCAGCTGTGTTAGCACTTATTCTGAAATATTAGTATAGTATAGTATCCAATATTCTTATCATAAAATAATTATCTGTTTGTCATAATATCAAATTCTTTGAAGAATATGTCAATGATATATTTCAATCATCATTTCATTATAGTCCATGTCATTGTTCTTGCTTCTACATGACTTCAGGAAATGGGTTATGAAACATAAATAAAAACCTTAATTATATTCACTTGTCCGTTATGATTTGTTGTACATGGCTCCAAGTTGGCTGTTTTCATTAATACTTTATGCAATTTATGAATTATAATCTAAAATATATATTGTGTTGATACTTAGGTCAATGGCTATAAACCTGTTTCAGAAATGAGCCTAAAAGCCAAATTATAAGCAGAAGTGCTTTTAAATTCACTGCAGAGTCAAATCCAAATTCATAGTTTTAGTAAAGGTTTTAGCCCTGCGGTACATATCTTACTTTCTTCCATTTTTATTATCAGTTAAATGTAATTTCTTTTAGCAAACTTATGTGATCACTTACCATCTGATATTTCAAGTTGAAGAAAAGTGTCCATCTTACCGATACCCAGAGACGTTATACGTCCTTGCGTTACCGAATGTGGAATGCGGAAGTAAAGTAGGAAATGATTGGGATGTTTACAATCGAGAGTTACCTGCCCAATTTACCGGTGCAAATAGAATATGTTCCTGATGAAAAAAAGCTAAACTTTAGGGATGCATATTAACGAAAGGAATATACGTGTATAAACATGTTGAAAACACGGACAAGCACTTACTTTGAAGCTATCTTCTCCCACATCGAATCTTTAGATTTCTTCGTCACTCCCGGGTCCGAAATAAGCCGATAAAAGGGAGTGATGGTGGACTCCTTCGTCAATGAGAATGGCTACTTCCTCAGAATTGCTTTTTCTCCCTCGAGGTTTCTTGTCCGCGATCACTGTTGGTTCTAAAGCAACTTCCATCGTCTGCTAGACTAAGGAAAGGGAGATAACTCGTGCCTCGCATTTTTTCTATCTCTCGCACGAAAGAGTCTCGATCTTAGCTAGGATCGGATCGTAAGATCGGGACCGGCTACGATCGGCCTAAAATCGGTTAGTGAAACGGGTGTAACTTTTAGCTAAGACGATTGTAATTAATACATTTATCCTGAAATCTGCAAGATGGAAGGATTGTAAGAAGATTAAAAGTGTTAGTGTGTTTCTTGGAAGCTTGCATTGTTCTTTTGTATGGTGTTTGTGTGATGTATTATAACCTGCAAAACAAACTTTAAATACATAAATCATGGTAACTGTCATCGTATATATAGACGTCGCATGGATCGTTTGGTCTGGATGCATTCAGGGTATTTCTGTGAAAATACGGACACATGAATATAATAATTAGAGCAATACTTTGAGAATTAATTTGGGTATGGAAGAGGGTCACATGACTGTTGCAGCCCCAAGCGGTTCGCAGCTGATGTTTGTAAACAAGTCACTCGACCTCCTTGTGTCAACAACAACTGGGTGCAGGTACACAGCCTAAGGTCGGGACACAGCCATGACGTCAGTATCGCCAGATATGACGTCACGCCGCCAAGGTAGCCGGGTCTCACAGACAACCAGCTGTTCCCAGCCGATGTTTGTAAACAAGACACTTTCCTTGTGTGAGCAGCAACTGGGTGCCGAGACCGGGGACAGAGTCATGACGTCATTATCGCCAGATATGACGTCACGCCGCGAACACAACAGTTCTGGCGCCAGATCTTCAGCTGAGAGATTTTTTTCATCATGGAGAGAGATAACAGTGGGCGTGTGTGGCATGTCTTACTACTTGGTCTCTGTATATTATTGTTACTAGATGAACATCCATGAAACTTACACTAGGAGTGACACAAAAGCAGCTAACCATGAAGGAAAAAGGTGCACAAAGTGAAAATTCAATAAAATAAAATACAGGAAAATATAAGTACGCATGCACACAGGCGACGTGATCAAAGAAGGCATATTTAGGTTTTCGTGACATCTTTCATAAGGTTTCTGACCCGTGAAGATGAGGGTTAGAATTGGTCTTCAGTAACCCATGATTGTCGTAAAAGGCGACTAACGGGATCGGGGGGTCAGGCTCACTGACTTCGTATACACGTGTCATCGTATCCCAGTTGCGTAGATTGATGCTCATGTTGTTGATCACTGTATTGTGTGGTTGCAGACTTGATTATTTACAGACCAGACCAGACCATCGACATATAGCTGGAATATTCCGGATGACGGCGTTAAACAGCATCCAAACAAAAATGTCATTAGTGTACAGTAGTTCATACAAAATAATGACTCAACATGAATTTCCTGCCAGAACGCACTCACTCACTCACTCACGTAACCTTAGGAGATTGCTCTCTGTTTACAGACAGTCACGATATAGCAAAACTGAATCAAACAGACTGTACAGTATGTATCGGGTAGGTCTCTTTAGGTGGAAGTTGAAGTGTCATGTATGCCATGAAATCTGCATGAGATACTGGGTTGTTGTTCTTGTTGTTGTATAACACTCAGCACTGTCAGCAGTATAACGGCTATATGGCGGGTTTTCCCTCTACGCCAGCCTGGTGGCCCTAGTACCTCGACTCGGGTGACACTGTCAAGTAGATCGTTAATACAGCTGCCCGTCAATGTAGACCGCAGGGATATACCCAACAGTTACCCAACATGTATATCTGACGTTTTTTACCCCTGTTGTAACCCTGGAGTGAATGTGTTACGACTGCTGATCAACAATCGAGACGCTATATAGCTACTGTCACTAAACTTCAGATGCACGATGTCCGTTGAGACCACCCAGTAATGCATGCTGGTTGCAAGTTTGCAAAAACTTATAATAATAATAAGGCTTCCTTTTTCCTGCTCAGGAACAGTCACTTCCCACTCGCAATTGCCTAAATGTGATTCTTAAAGAGAATATTAACATGAAATGTCGACTTTGCAATGAATTCACAGAGACTGTGCAACACCTTGTCAGTGGATGCCCTTCCTTGGCACAAACAGCATATCTTAAACGACATGATGGCATGGCTCGTTGCTTTTACTACCGTCTCCGCCATGCTTGTGGCTTTGACTCACTCACTCGCTTAATGCATTGCTGGAGGATTGACCTGAGACAACTGTTCGTTGTACAAATCTTTGTTTTACAAGTGATAAATAATCCTCCCTATGTCACTGAATACATTTAACCTACAATACAATTCTTAAGACCAGGTCCCAACCTCTTCATACCCCACACAATACAGTGACAAGAAGATTACACCAGTATTCCATTGTACTGTCTGTGGAATAAGAGCGGTTAACGGCATGTGTGTAACCTATGTGTCACATGATGTCAAAAAAGTGTCATATATAGTATTCATGGACATAAGATGTGTTTTTAAGTTTGCAATTTGAGAGTAAAGTTTTACAATTTTGAGTAAAAGCACTGGAAAGTTTTACAGGAGAACACATGTAGGTTTGTTTATTCATTCAGTAATATATATGACAAATGCTAAATCATTTCATCACTGTACAACCACTTGACACCCTACTTGAGATATTCAGTGACCATCTGTCCTCAACTATTTCCGGTCTTTAATTCCGGTCAGACACTTCTCTCCCTACATAACGGAAGCTGACCATTTGTGACTATACATTCAACATCACATTGAACACTATCAACAACCATTCCATGTACACATGATTACAGTCTGACCTTTAAATTACAATAAAACAATTTCTGGTCAAGTTGAACCGGCTAACTTTGCGAGCACAGGAAGCCACACACAGGCAGCTGAACAAATTAACCCTCCCAGGTCCGCACCAACTGTCACCTACTTGAACATATCTGTACACGCATATGCATCAGTGATACAAATGACAGCATTAAATACTTAAAATGGTGGTCAGTTTTAATGACTGGATGGAAGTGCTTAGCATATACGGTGGCGCATGAAATTTAACAGCTACAATCGTTTATTGTTCACAGATATGTTAAATACATACTCAGAACTTCGGAGTTGTTCCTTGTGTGACAGCGTATTTTAAACTGGTTAGTGATTTGATTTAACAAAATGCGCTCTGATCTAACTTTTGACCTAATAAATTGCAGCTAAATTCCCCCTCATAGTGTGATATTAATTCTACGTTGAACACGTTTGCTGTGTGAACACTCGAGTCGGCAAACTCATAAAAGAATTGAATAATAATCACAACCTGAAGGTCACACACACCTGGGCCTGAAGGGGACTCCCAAAGGTCACACAAAGGTCACACCTATGTTACGTCATAAAAGAAAATGGCGGATATGGGCCACAAACACACACAAACACACACACACACACACACACACACACACACACACACACACACACACACACACACACACACACACACACACACACACACACACACCCTATACAACATATAATAAAATCACTTGACACGAATGTTGGATGTTGGATTCACCAACATACAACTAACGATTGTACGATACTTCGCTCAGTTGGTGTGACTTCAGTTAACGCGTTGGGCTAAATGTGTGCATTCCTCCGTCGAGATATTGTTGGAATATTGCTTAAAGCGACATAAAACCACACTCACGCACTGGTTTGAACATAGGCCGTCGTCGCATGGCAGGGGCACTGCTGTGAGGCCTCGGTATGTAAATTTGTGCAAATATATACTCATGCCAATAATGGTTGTCAACCCCCTTCCCACCCCAACCCCGCACACACCTCACACCCCACCCCACACCCTCTCTCCAATTAAACAAATTGAAGGGGGTGACAACCATTATTGGCATGAGTATACTTTGTGACACCCACATTAGCAACATATTTTTATGCAAATTTCATTATTTGTTTCTATTACCAAACTTCTACAGTATCCAATGTCACTATTTCAGTTTGTAACCTGTTATGTTGTATATAGTATAGGTTCCTAGCGTTAAAACATATTGGTCAATATTGGTTTTGTAATCTGTTTTGTATACTTCAGCGAATATGTTTTACACATGCGTAGGCTGTACATTTGATGCACATTAGAATCCTCTCCACCCCATCATTCAGTGCCAGAACTTCATACACTTCGCATTCTCAGACGTTTTGAGGCACCAGACCGAAGACGATATTCTGATATTGATCTTGTGAACCGTGCTCTCGCATACACTGTGTATGAAAAGGAAAATAGAAGCATGATGTAATTTGTTAGACAACTGGAACGGTCCCTTTCCTGATTACTTATCATGTTTCAACGGAAACAACATTCCACTAAATTAATCACATTATATGAAGTAAATTCCAATGGAATATGACACCATGTACATACAATATCACAGGTTAAATAAGTATACAAAATGTTCAACATGCATGTCAAATACTTTAAATTGACATTTCCACAATTTATTTTAACGATCAATTGAGTTTTGATATACATTGGACTAATTACTGATATTAAGAGCGATTAAAACAGGTTTACAAAGTGCTCTTTGACACTGTCATTTGATTCTGAATGTACAGGATTTGGGTTTAGTAGGAATTTGACGTACAAAGAAAGCATGCTATTGTGACTATCTTAGAAGTACAGTGGACTCTCTCTAAACCGACATCTCTCTAATCCGACATTCCCTGTAAACTGACATATATATTTGGTCCCTATATGATATAATATAAGAAACTCCCTCTAATCCGACATCCCTCTATCCCGAATTCCGACACTCAAATCCGGTCCCAAAACATGTTTAAGTGCAAATTGACTCTCTCTATTGCTTTATACCTGAAGTCATTATGGCAAGACAATACAAAAAATGAGCTTGACAACTGTAGGCCCGAGGTTAGTATCACTGTCTTTCATTGCTGTCCGCAATATTGTATTTGTACTGCCTCTGAACTTGTACAACTACTCTATTTTGAGCAGCTATTGTAGTGAGACGTCGTGCGTTGTAAACTTCCTTATGTTTATGTAATTGCTGATTGTACAACATTTCTTTCTTTGTCGGTTTTACATCGAATTTCCTGTACACCAAGACTCTGGGTTAACGTATTGGTTTAACTTGGGAATAGAGACGTAACATAATCAACATTTGCCTTCGACTTACCGGTTGGGGCCAGCTTGATTTGTTGTCGTTCTGCAACAACACATTCTGCAGTCAACAGAGTGGCTGAAAAAGAACAAAGTACCCCTGAAGTGAAATTCAACTCTGATATCCTATCAAAGCATACGTGTAACACTGTAGCCAGTCAGATCACATCCAAAACACACAATAGTATCTGTCCGAGTGTTAGCAGGAAGTCAAGGTTTGTTATCATTGATACAGATCCTTCAGATAATTGAATCGCATTGTATAACACTAATATATGCATCTTCGGGTCTACATGTTTCTTTAAATGAATTAATATTTTGCAAAACATAAAAGTCTTCAATGTCATCTCACATTGAGCTTGTGAATTTAGCTATATTAAGCCACGAATAGAGGATGAAGTTCAAATGAAGCTGCAGTCTTTTACACGTGTGACCAAGACGAAACATGTAAAGTGTGTAGGACAAGATGTGGTACGTGGTTTTGCTCTGCATTATGCTCGGCACTTAGGTGATGTACTAGAGACTGGATGCCTTGGAGTCGGTATAATGTGTCCGAATATGCTATCCTTTTTGCGCTGCGGCATGGTATGTCACTATGCTAGTGTGAAGAGAGAATGTCGGTCTGTAGGGCATTTGCAGCGGTATCATGATTAATGGTGGGTAGTCTGTGTAGATTTCACTTTGGACTGAATGTTAAATTAAGTGTCTAAATCTTTCAGAACCCTGTTACCTTATCTATTATGACTATGTTAGTGTGGAACAGGAAATGCTTATCTGAAGGGCGTTTGCAGCGGTATCATGAGTAATGGTGGTCTCTGCGAACTGTAGATTTGACTTTGAACCGAATGTCAAATTAGGTATCTCGATCTTTCAGAACCCCGTAACCATTTTCTATCATGACATACTACATCATAACCACATCAAAGCAAATTATGTACATTGTATCAGTTCTTTTATAGTCTCGTCATTATACTGTATTAGTATAAACACAAGTGTAACTATACATACCAAGAACCATCAGGAGAAACAGCTTCATGTTCGTTGATGAGATGTCCCAACAAAATCTACAGCAAGGATGGAAGTGATGCTCTTGGTCTCAATCATGACTTTAAATATGTTTTCCAGCCCCAGAGAAAGAGTTTATTGGTTGCAGCTGGTATTCAGGTAGATCCTAAAAAAATGCACGTGATTATTTTACTGCTTACTTTAATTAAATACTGATTCAGGTTTCATCATAAAAAAATATCTCTATTGTGATATTGTGGTGTAGCCGAGTATGGAGAGCATTGATTCATAGGTCATGTGGGCTCTGATTCTGGTTTGCTCTGGAATGTCTGCGATAATGCTAAACTTGCTCCTTGTTAACTCAATATCCAATATGGATAATTCAGGTGATTTTTTCCTTGTGCTGTGAACGCAAATATATGCAATTGAAAACTGGACATAATCGTAAATTCGAACTTGGGCAGTTGTACGGAAATGCATATACGTGGTATCTGTGCAACGCAAACGTCCACAGGCTTCTAAACCTATTGTTGAATTGGCCTGGTCACGATAACCTCGGAACTAGTTACACTGTTTAATCCTAATGAAATACAAGATCACTCAAATATGTTTGAGGAGACCGAATAACACAGACACACATACACGCACATACCAATACACATACTCGTATGAGAGAAGTCCTTTTGGAATCATTTATGAACGTCTACATATATTTCAAACTGAATTATATTTAAAGAAAACTATTTTTCACTATCAGAGACCCTATTTTCTTTTATCCCTTGAATACACAATGCATGGTTTTCTGGTTGGGGAAATCATAGACTGAAAGTTCATGAACCAATAACGAATGACCTTACAATCATTCATGTAATTGTGTCATCGTGCTTTTGTCATATTCATTTCATGTATTTGTGGGTCATCTTATGGAGTATTAACATGTTACTGATGCTTTTATGCTGATATCTGAGACAAACTGAGGGGTAAGTTTATTAGCTTGTCTAGTATTTAGAAGCTTCAATTACCATGTCGTACAAGCAGCAAGACCATAAAATGCATTTATAATCAGTTTATGTCTTTTGCATGATTACTGGGGTAAAGTTGTGAATTTTAACTCAAAAGTATATACTTGAATAGCTGACCTCCCAAGCTACTCTGCACAATACATTGTTATGTGGCAAATATTCAACCAGGAAGAGTGTTCATTGTTTAATCTACTCTTTCCGTTGACAGTCGGGAAGGGGTAATGCTATGCCATATCTCGACTTGTGCTACGTTTAGATGGAGAGTTCTTGGAGGTACCACGTAGTACCGAAAGCGCACGACCATGGCCATCCCAACATGGTCCATGGTCTTACCAAGAATATATGGATGGAGAGATCCCGAACTGTTAGCCAATATATAGGGGGCTTGCCTCTGCCCTGTCCATATCACATTACATCACGAAATGCGAGATTCTTTTACGGACTGAAAATTAGGGGAATCTGAGCAAAAATTGGGAATCAACGTCAGGCAATATCTAAATGATACTGACTCATCATGCAGGCTGAAGTCACGTGCACGTGTGCACGTGTATCATTAGCTTCCACTGATACAGCCAACTAATCTAGCAGTATAAGATACCGAAGTCGTCTGAATCAAGGCAAAATAATTTAAAATATCTATTAAAAAAATCCATCCATAAACTGGAAGGCAAAGGATCACTTCAGCTTTAGCTGAGGAATATGTAGTCAGCTCCAGCCCTTGTCATTATAATGAGGTTTTATCAAACGGAGCCTTATGATATGATTATTGAAGAGGGCGTCATGTGGCGAATGTTCAAAACTTTTTTCAAATCAGTGTTATTGCACTTAAAGGAACGTTCGCCTTACGTTTGCAAGTTGTGACGTTAAATATTAACTCACTAACTCATTCACTTACATTTGCAAGAGTCAGTACCTGGTAGCACAGGCTCATTTTTCTTAAAACACTTAACATCACCGATATTTCATGATGTCCTATAAACGCATGCTTGTCAGCTTCAGAATCGTTGAATGCACCCTGCTAATAGCAGATGTTTTATGGTTATTGAAATGCTTTCTTTGTGAGCGGCGGTTGGGGTAGCCTAGTGGTTAAAGCGTTGGCTCGTCACGCCGAAAACCCGGGTTCGATTCCCCACATCTGGTGTCCCCTGCCGTGATGTTGCTGGAATATTGTTAAAAGCGGCGTAAAACTAACCTCAGTCAGTCTTTGTGAGAGACCGCCTCAGCTGTTTCAGTGATTCAGTGTGACAAAAAACCCTCTCCACTAGGCTGTATGACAAAAGAGATGATTTCAACTTTCAATAGTCAGCCTCCCTTTCATGTCTAGCAATATTCCAACACGTTCGGCTTAGGTTTGCAAGTTGTCGATGTGACGATAAAATATTAACTCACTCACTCACTCACTCACACAACTTTTAGGTACTATCGAGCGTGCTCTTTTTATGAAGTTGTTTGATCTAGGATACAACATTCAAGGCCTCAGGAAAGCTTTCAAGAATATTTATGGTAGACATGTGGATACACTCACATTTGTGCGAACACTTGGAATCATCACTATTTCACAGTGATTCATAAACACATGCTCTGTCATCGTATGGCATGGTGACAATCAATGGATTGTCTGGTTCAGACCCGATTTGTTTACAAACAATATCATGCATCTGCAATAGTGCAGAAACAAATATCTGCCTTATGATATAGTCAGAACTGTACAGTTGAATCTGCTTTCTTTTTAATGTGGAAAGGGTTTTGTCGCTTCTAGTTACATCATCTATTTACTGAACGTGTCATATTCAGTGACCCTTAATTCCGAAAGCAATTACCGGATTACAAAGTGTATTTGTATTCACCCAAGTGGTGATGTTTGGTGACACTTTTAACATCCGTGAGAGATTTGTAATGAGGTCTTAATTAGCCTACCAATTAATTGTCACTAGCTGTGTATTTCTGATGAGGTGTCTCTTGCTATTTTGCGTAGCGGTTGTTCTGCTCGAGTGATTAGATAAATTATCCTAAGTAGTTGATCAGGTAGAGGTGTGTTTTTTTCCGTCTTGATTACATATCTCATGTGTTGAGTTGACAACATTCCCTTGACTTTTCATTTCTAGTTAGTTTTCACTAGTGTCCTGGTATGGGTAGTTGACACAATGACAGGCTTCTATAAAGGAAAATTGGGGGCTCGTCCGGGTCCATTTTAGTTGTTCTTTAAGATTAGGTCTTGTTGTTCTCTGATTGTGCTGGGATGTTATTACTGTTATCAAGTTATGGTCTTGGGGTTGTTGACTATGGCTGCTTCATGTAAACCGTCACTGTCACAAAGTAAAAGGTTACAGAATTGGCTGACAAACATGAGACTTTCCTTAGACGTGGGATTAAGTGTCAAGGAAATAAATAATATTTTAATGGATGTTTTGTAGTTGAATGATAATGAGGAATCTGTAGTTGAAGACAATCCAGTTTAGAAAGGCAGAGGTCGAGAAACTTCATGGTTAACTTTTCAGTTGTATACTCAAGGAATTTAGAGTTGGCATTTCAGGAGAATAGTCTAGAATTAGAATAGTAATCTACGAGGTTAGCGTTAGAAGATAAGAGACAGGCAATAAGCCATGAGAAGCCGGAGCTGAGACAAGCTAATAGTCGTCAGATAAGGTCAAGATAGATGGGTGTTATCGTTCTTTGCCTATTGTTGATGATGTCAGATATAGAAGGATTCTTCAACCAATTTGCACTTAAATTGAAAAGCCATTCCACTGCATTAGCTTCACCTCCATTGCATTGTACTCTCATTGAATTTGTAAATCCTTGGAAGCAATTTGGACTTTTTTAGTGCAATTAATCAAATTGTTAACTGAATAACATTTCTTTGTTTTAGTTGGTTTGACAAAAGATAACTTGCCTGCAGAGTTTAAGGCAACAGATGCAACTGACAAGTAACATATGTAACAGAACTAATGTATCAGAACAAGAAATCATTATTTTCTGTTTGCCATAATTACATACTGATTCAGGTTTCATCACAAATTTATTCATATTGGAGTTATCGTTTGATAGCTAAGTAGAAAAAAACCCATTGATTCGCTATTGCGAGTTGGTTTCCGCTATTCCGTTTCAAGCACATATCTTGTTTTAAGTCGAAGATATTGCTAAACTTGGTCCTCATTAACTCCATATAAATTATTCTTTTTCCCGCCTATTTCAAATGCAAACATCTATAATTGCAAACTGTACAAACTAATAAAAGCGGAATAAATATATTCGAAATTTCTGCTGAAATACACAAGACATTTTTGTAATGCATATGCAAAGAAGTAATCCTTTTGGGAATGCTAAATGAATGTCTCCACCCACGTCTAATTCTTACTTTTTCAATCAAAATCTAAGATCGAAGAGCCTTCAGCCTTAGACATGTACATATGGCATGTTTCTTCAGATGAAGGGATAGGTATTTCAATGTAAAAACTGTTAAGGATCTTTTTAGTACTGTAAATTTTTAATTAAATTTTGGTTTTTTAAAAGAAATTGATTTAATTGATACATTTTGATTGATATATGTTGTAGATAGATGTATTTAAATGATTGGTAGTTTAGATTAGAAACTTAGATTGTTAGTGGCGGTATCCTCGAGTGGGGTTAATTATTGTAAAATTATTGTCCCCCTGAAAGGATACGTAAGTCCCGCAACATTCAAAGGAAATTAAAATTTACCAGCTGTTGTAAATGTAGTATTTTTGTCGTTTTAATTTCGGCTAAATTTGACTACAATCGCCAGCTGCTGAAGAGTTTATATAAATCCAGTTAGGGTCCATGCAGGTAGCAAACGTACCGTAAGTTCCCATGGTCCCTAGTGTGATGATCAACCTGCAGTTGCTTTGTTTATATTGTACTGTTGTCTCAAGTGATTATTTTTATGATAGCGTACCAGTTTCAAATTAAGAGTTGTGATAATCTAGTATTTTACTGTACTTCGATGACAGGTTTTAACGTTCTAAGTTTATTGATTTTACTATTGATATAAATGAAATTGTTCTCGTCACGATATGGCTGCAATATTGCCGATGTGACGCTAAATATTAACTCACTCACTCTTTAGATGATATGAAACATTGATCGCTATCACAAGAAAAAAAAAATGGTGATTTCCAAAAATTTCCA